AAAGTGCATTAGAGTCGTGCTTTAAGCAAAATATCACTTTACAAAGCGAAAAGGGTGTTTTATATTAGGAGACTAAAAAATGTTTTAAAGCTTAATGTTAATGGTTGTTAAGAAAAGAAGTATCAATTTATAGAAAATTGTTGAGTCGCCTGTTTGCTCAACATTCCTCGATTTTGCAATGTATACATTCCTAATAATCAATAAGGCTATTTTTGTAATTAGCAAAGCAAACGCTTATGGCAAAATATATTATTATTATTACTACGAACGATTGTATTTATTAAAACTATTTCTTATACATTTTAATATACACACGTATACAGTACAAAACTTTAAATTTATGTGAGGTATTTTTAAGAAGGGATTTTAGTTTAAAAAGTTATTTTCATAAGTAGAATGACTTGTAGTAGAAAAAATAAAATTATTTAAAAAAAATCATATAATTTTATTTAAAGTTAAATTTCATAATTCTTTAAAAAAAATTATTGAACATAGAAATTTAAGATTTTAGATACATATTTATTCATCTTTAAATTATATGTATATGAAACAATTTTTGGAATTTTTTCTAAGCTAAATATTTTCAAAGTTATAAATTGCTACGCATACCTATTCTAAAATGATAAACATAATTGAAGGATTTCTACCTATTCGAAATAAACAAACAAATAAAATGTTTAATCTATGTATATGAATGTTGTTACCCATACTAGCGCAATAAATTTGTTATAATGTATTATAGTTTTTATAATCATTAGAACAATTAGTTTTTATAATCATTAATAATTTTTAAATAAAATCTGATTTTTTACATAATTTGATTTTTTTATTGCAAGTCATTCGGCTTATGAAAATATTTTTATCTAAAGTCGTCTGTTTTATCGATCGAACGCGATTATTTTCCATAACAAAATAAACATAATTAAAGGCAACAGATTAAAAAATTCTTCTCCACGATTAAAGTATAGACATCATTGTAGTTCCGGCTGGTAGAGGTTATGCTGAGAACGCAAAAAATTTATGAAATTTACATCTCCGTTACCTCTTCTTAGTTCAACATGGCGTCTAGAGCTGTCACTTGTGCCAATATTTGCTTCGTACAACAATTTGGCAGTTTGTTGGTACAAAATGATACCAGCCGGAACTACGAATTACATGTGCAAACAATGGTGAGTTCA